ATATATATATAGAGAGAGAGAGGAATCTGATTAAGAATCCTTGGGCCCTCTTCGGCTTCTTTCCATGAATCCTTTTCTTTCGCTCTTACATTATACATAAGCCAACAGCATACGAACCAAACGGAAACCACGTCGAGCCGTTCGTTCGTGTGTTACCTACAGACGTTCCGACGAGCCTATAATACCCTGAACCCTAAACCCTAAACCCAATACCCATACACCGGTCTGACCACAAATGCCCAGTGTTACGGCGCACATGAACAACGCATTGGGGTAACGTCCCCTGAGGGAAACGAATCTGCTGGAGCAGTGCGTCTTCTGGCTGATGTGACCGTCACGCAGCAGGCGGAGAGTGTAGTCTTATAAATCCTGAACCCCCGAACCCTCCATCGTTTAGCCCCAATTCCAACCTTCTCAGTGCAAAGCGCGAAGTTTCAGCTCTGAATTAAGACAGCTTCTACGCTCTACGGTCACTATACCCGAAACTTGGACCCTGCGTCCTTGCCTAAATACGCGTAGGACTCGAACACCGCAAAGCCAGCTAATCAGCTGAATATTCCTGGGTGTTCCGCAAAAATATGGCTTATGGATTCAAGGATGAGGATTTAGAGAAAGAGCCGCTGGCATCGTTCAGTTTAAGGATGCTTCAAAGACATCCACACTGCAACCACTATACAACCTACTTTTACATTTTACCGCCGAGTGTCCCTAGCCAGGCCGCAGGCCTAAACCGTGCCCCTGGTGTTCCTAAACCCTAAACCCCTAGTTTAGGGTTTAGGGTTTAGGCTTGCTCCTGAACGTAATTCCCATCAAATCCCTTAGGTAGACAGACATTTACCCGGCCTGATGTCCGAAACCACTGGCACTGGTAGGCCTACAGAATTTAGTACAGTCATCCCCTTATAGTCCCAAGTGGAAGTAGACTTTACACTTTAAACATTATGTCCCCACCCCCCGGCCCTCTTTCAACTATCACAGACTTCTTTGCAACCGTTCTTCCTACAAGAAGCTCCCTCCATTCCTGTGAACCCCTGCAGAGTCCAAAGGCCACCGACCCAGCGCCGACAAGTCGGTTTAGGGTAGATGATTCGTTTGTTTAGTGAATCAACACGAACAGGTGGGCACCGATGTCCATATACACAAACCATGTGAGCTTACTAAACCTACACCCTAAACCCCAAACCCCTAAACCCCTAAACCCTAAACCCCTAAACCCCTAAACCCCTAAGCCCCTAAACCCTAAACCCCTAAACCCCTAAACTCGGAACCTCGCCAGGCTTGTCCCAGTTGTGAGTGCTGAAACCCCTAAACCCTAAGCCCCTAAACCCTAAACTCTAGTCTGAAAGAAGGACCCGCCGGCGCCACCCTCGCCAGTTCCCCGACCGCCCGTGGCCTTGGCCGCAGTTCCACGCACCTTGGCAGACCAGGGTCGTGCTTAGGGCGTAAACTTAGTGGCTGAGTAGGTAGCCTTTAACCTTTTGGGGCTCTTATAATCCTACTAGAATTCAAAAGGTTAACCTTTTTTGGGCTAGGGTACTCAGCCCCTAAGTAAAGGTGTGTTCGGAAGTAGGGTTTACCCATAGGCCCTAAAGTAGTTCCTTTTAGGGGTTCATATATAGAATCCTATAAGGTACCCCCCAAAAGGAACTACTGTAGGGCCCATGGGTAGACTTATCGGTTTCATGAGGGCCTAGGATTTTAGGTTGAAGGTTTGGATTTATTGGTGGCGTGCTGGTTTGGGGCTTTAGGGCTCCGGGATCAGCGTGATCTAGTGTAGCTCAAAGGAGCTAGTAATCCCCCTTTGTTCCCTAAGCCAGCTACGTGGGAAAGTGAAGCCTCATAAACCCTTTGAGAGTCGAAGCCCTGTCTTCCACGTTCTAGGTGTGGCTCTTGGCCCAACTAGTCAAGAGATGGCTCGTGTGGGGGAGCAAATGACGGCTCCGGTTACAAAAGTTCGTGGTTTGGCACTTCGGGCCGTCATTTTGCATGTCAGCAAGCCTAGGAAGTTCGAGAAGTGTACATCCAGAAGCAGAAGCAGCAAGTTATCACCTGGCTGCCTATATATATGTATATATATATCTGTGTTATATATCTGTGTATATATAAATTATAAACACATATAGGGTACCTTGTACTATAACTATAATAAGAAACCCCCAAAGCCTTGTTATAATTATGAAGGCCCTTACACGATAATCAAACCCTTAACCAAACATGGCTTTCTTGAAACCCGGCCCCTGAGGGATTCCTAAACCCTAACCATAAACCCTAAACCCTAAACCTTAAACCCTAAACCCGGCCCCTGAGGGATTCCTGCACCTTGCCTGCCTGTGGCCTCTACCCGTGGGAGGGAAGTACAACGGAGCGAGGCAGATGAGGGTTTAGGGTTTAGGGTTTAGGGGTATCTGGGGCCCCGTTAGTCAGGGTTTAGTACAGGGATCAGAAGAAGTACTAGTAGTAGCAACATCCCATTCCAGTCCCTATTTATAGTCATACTGAGTCATACCTTACAAGACCCTAGAACCCCTTATTAATCCGACCGACTGTCGTGAAAGGCTAAGGCATTGGCATATGGAGGTTTCATGATACGAAACCTCCAGACCGTAAATGTCTTGTGTGTTGTGGGTAGGGCTTGAGAATGTCGAGCTCGAACCTAATCCGCACAACACCTTAAACCCAGAACTATGCTAACTCTTCAACATTGGAAAACCCTTAGACTTAGACCCTGCAAGGGCAATAACCCTAAACCCTGTATCCAAAACCTGCACGAATCAACGACTATTATTACCCTGAGCCCTAAACCATCCCCTATAGACCTTTGTGGCCTGATGGGTCTTACGTCTTTACTTTGGCCTTTTCGGATGCAACCCTATCTTGACCACCCCGGGCAGAAGAGGCGGGGAAGAGGCCCAAGCCCTCTTTTGGAACAACCCCTGATGAAGATGTGCTGCTCCGAACTAGAAACCCCTAATCGGGCTTCCCAAGCATTCCAAGAATCCCTGGAACATCTTCCACAAAGCAAGACGTGCCGGAACTGCAAGAAGGTTGTGTTGCAAGTGGATCCCAAGCAATAAAGATCAACAGTTATGCTTCATCTGTATATTTCCTAAACTAAACATTGCTTTTCAAGTACAACGAAGAGCCGGGCCAGTCCATTTGTTCAGTCCTAAACTTTGGGTTTCAATAAAGTTAAGTTTATGGGTTGATGTCAGGCTTGCACAGTCGTTGGTAAGGGGATAGGTACGCTCATCCGTAGGGAAGGTAAGAATAGTCCTACACCTGCTATTCAGCGCTAGAGTTAGAGATCCAGGATCACCTTGCTCCGCCTGGAAACCGTCCAGTGATCGGGCGCCCCGGGTTCAATTTCCAGCGAGATGCCAGTCAGGAACCGAAAAAATAGCACTCAAGCATCAATTTCTAGGTGGGATATCCCTACCTCTACTGCTTTACCTGAAGAGAGGCTGTTATGGGATAACCCAACCTTAAATGGTTCTTGTGTAGGTGTTTTTCGTCCCACGCCTGCAGGAGCATGGGGACCTCTCACTCCTGCATGTGCGCAGCACTACGCCAGAAGATCGGCCTCGGAATGCGGCGACCCTGGATCTGATCCTACTGGGACTCTGCGGAGTTTGGCTGGGTTCTTGCTAAGGGACTTAGGGTTTAGGGCAAAGGGCTTTAGGGTTTAGGGTTTAGGGTATAAAGCAAGTTACCATGATAAGCCCTACAACTTCTATAAATTGGATCCTTATCATGGTAACCTAAACTGAATTCCATAGCAAGTAAGCCCAGCAGGGGGGTGGGAGTGAGGATTTCGGGTTTGCCAGGACAGGGATTCCAGGAAAAGGAGCCCAAAGCATCATAAACCCTAAAAATCTCTGAACCAACAGCTCGAAGCCCTAGCATCCTAAAACCCTGCTTTAGGGTTTAGGGTTTAGGGCCCTGGTAACCCTCAACCCTCAACCTCTTCAAAGCCCTAAGCAGCGTCCGTTAGCTTCCGAAGCTAGCAAAACCCCATAAACTCTACAGTCTGTACATCTTTCGTTTCAACACCAGGAAAACTCTCAGCTTCCGCTCCTAAATCGAAGTCAAGCCCATTATAACCCGAAAGGCTCCACTCTACAAATAATCATCGACCCCTAAACCCTAGACCCCAAGCCTCTTCTGGCCAATGTGCTTTCGCCTCGTACCAGGAACCTCGCCTAGGCAAGTCCGAGAGTGAGGGCTGAAACCTCTTCTGGCTTTAGTTTGATTTTTAAGTTGTTGAGGCCCATCTCCGTCCCTCGGCGTCCTCGCGCTCGGTGGCCTCGGCGAGTACCGTCTCGGACAAGTCCATGGGCCGAGTCCTCAGAGCTCAGAGGGCCCCAGGGTTTCACAAAGGGGTTCCTCAGAAAGGATGTGAAGACCACAGACCGCAAGCACAAACGGCAGACCCCAAAACCCCGATTCAAATACCACTCGCAGGTATGCTTACGCCACGATCCGAGGGT